ATAATATTATATAAGCGGGAATCCTTCTAAATATACGATACTAATCACATGCTTGAATTTAATCATTCCTTTGACTGGAAAAATGTCAGTGTCATGAATACTGAATCGCATTACAATAAGAGATTAATCTCTTATGAAATGCTTTTCATAAAAGAATAATATAATGGCGTAAATGTCCAAAAAGATACAGATAAATTAAGCAAAACTTATTTTTGTTTACTTGACAATGACACTGACAATAATAAACAAATTTGTATATTACCGTTTATTTTATTGTTTAAAACATAACATAACTTTAAATTATACTTCATATTTAAAGATTATACGTTTCGCGGGTTTCCTCCGTTCCATTCTTGGAATGCTAACGTTTCGTGACAGTATCAGGCTGTTCCTCGCCCTGATGAAATGCACTGCAAGATTCACGAAACATTGGCATTCCAAGAATGGATTTGGACACGTAGGAAACCCGTGAAACGCATAATCTTTATATAGAAAGCACCCGTGGAAACTTCAAGAATATCATATACTTCATATTTTATAATAAATTCATTCATCTGTCCGTCCGTTAGTTCGTCCGATCATTTTCCCTCTCCCCCTTTCCCCCTCTATCTCTCTTATTCTCCCTGTCATTATCTAACTCTTCTCTTCTCGCCTCTCCACGCCTTCTCCTCCTTCTCTTCTATCTGACTCTACAACGTTCTATTTCCAACACATAACTCCTTAAACCCTGGGCTTTGTGCTTAAGCATTGTGCGTCAAATTCATCAGGATCAGATGGCATTAATCGTCGTCTAGTCCTTGACAGTCTTCCTATTACTTTTCCTGTTATCCTTAACCTTTTTAACCTTCTGAAGACCGACATGTTTTCGATCGATTATTATTTTAAAAACTAGAAAGCCAGCTTTTTTATCAATGTCATGGGGTTGAATGGCGAAAAAGGTGGCGCCGCTGTCGAGTCCTTAAAGAGGTCTCTGGTCAAGAAAAAAAAAAGAATTTTATCTATAAAATGTTTCTTTTTAATTTCCTTACGATTTTTCTTGATCGATCACGTCTAATGCATTAATAAATTCAGACACACGCACGCATGCACACATACATACACACCTCAAGCCCAAAAAAACCTTATCACTAAATTTTTTCACAAGCTTTTAATATTTCCAAATAGCTCAGTGAAAAATCATCGTAGTGAAATATTTAGGAAAGCCTTTAAAAGCTTGAAATCTCTAGATTGGTACTTTAAAAAACGGTCGTACTGATATTATGTGAAATTACGTAAACATATATGAAGATGCATACATTCTCAAAATTTTTTATAAAATTTATGAAGTTCCACTGCGCCAATTAAAAATTGCGCACAAAGGAGTTTACAGCTTTCGAAAGAGTGAATCTTTACTTTTAATTGTTTTTTTTATAGATTTCTGTATGAGTTTTTTTTCACCAAATTATTAAACGTTGAAGCAAAAATGATTTTTTCTTCAATGTTAAATTACTCAATAAAAAAAAATCATACAAAGGTCTATAAAAAAGTAAATTGAAGGTAAAGATTCACACTTTCGATTGTTGAAAACTGCATTTTTGTGTGATCTTTACTTTATATCTTTACTTTATAGACATTTGTAAATTTGTACAAATTTTCACATTTGACGGATATCCATTTGTGTTCGTACAACTCCATAAAAGATCAGATTGAAATATTAATTACCAATTTTGAAAGTAGCGGTTTCAAATTTTAAAAGGCTTTTTTAATCATTTCACTACGATGATTTTTCAGTGAATTATTTGAAGATATTAAAAATTTGTGAAAAAAACTTAATGGCCAGGCTTTTTTGCATGTGAGTGAAAACATTGACATTTTGACAGCAGTTACTACTTTGCGACAATAAAAACAGCTATAATATAATCTTTTTGAATGCAGTTGTCTTAGAGTTGAACGAATATCAATATATTTAAACCCAGATCGAAATAATCTACTGAATCATTTAAAGATAGTAAATAAAATGTTAATATTCACACGAAATAAACACATTCGATTTTTCAATACATGAAATGTACGTTTTCATATTTTGCGCAATGTAAAATCTATTGTTTTCTATTTCATGTTTCATTACAACTTATAAGTTTCAAACAAGGCTCGGTCTTATTTCAAATAAATTTATTTTTAAAATATACATTTTAAATAAGAAAGATTAAACAGTTATTTAGTATTTATTATTTAAAATAACTCCATGTTGATATTCCATCTAGTTCGCGAAGGGTTAATACTATTATGTATCAATTATAGGCTGTAGCTATAAAAAAAAACTGAAACGTTATATTTAGAAATGTATATTCGTATATTAAAATAAACAAAATCGTTAAAATATCTTTTATGTAAATAGAATTTGAAACATTTATTTAAAATACATATTTCTTACTTTATATTTTAAGTAAATTTCCAAAATCTATTTCTTAAAATATTTTATATAATAATATTTAAAATAAGAAATATCCTTTGAAAATCTATTAAAAATACAAGTTATTTTCATATTTTAAATAAAAGTTATTTTATATTTTAAATAAATAGATGCATTTTCGAACTCTATTTCTTATTTTATATATCTTATTTTAAATAATTTCTTGTGACCTATTCCTTATTTAATACTTTAAATAAGTTTTTGGAATCTATTTTACAATATATTTTTTATTTCAAATAAGTCGTATCAGTTATTTTACCGAATCCTGCTTTTAAAGCATTTCTAACGAAATCTCATATAACATTTTTTTCTTTTTTCCATTGCACTTATATAATATGCTTCCGCAATTAATTGTCTGTTAAATACTATTAAATTGTTCAGAAAATTAATTTCAAATTTTGTTAACTCAATATTGTACACAGAATATATTTATTGCAAAGTTTTTTACTATCTAACGTAAAAGTTCAAAATTTTCCCTAAAAATTCATTTTTAAAAAGTGTCTCTACGATTTTTTGTTCAAAATTACTCGCTGGTTAAGTAAAAAGAAACATTTCGACTTATAACTGCGTTCCAAATCATCGTACTGCAATTACAGATACAGATCTCTAATGCTAAAACTTTGCTCTATCGAATGATATTATATAATCGCCAATTTTATTTAAAAAATAGATTATACAATTCCTTTACCATTTTGCAATGCTCGCAATAATTAACGAGATATTAACGTTTAAAGATAGTCGAATACGTGCGTCCTTCCGACTTACTATTGCCGAAGGTACGACCCAGCGCACGGCACGCGGGCCGCGAGGAGCGGAGATGGCGCGCCACGCCGTTCGAACTTAGAGGCTTAGAGGCGACAGTAAGCCCCGTTCCTCGCGGCCCGCGCGCTCGGTGGGTCGTACCTTCGGCAATAATAGGTTGGGAGGACGCACGTATTCGACTATCTTTAAACTTTAATATCTCGTTAATTATTGCAAGCATTGCAAAATGATATAGGACTTTTTTATTCAGTTTAGTTCAGTAGTCTTTACCTGCTCGGGATGAGTGGGTATATTCATGCCACCCTGTATATTTGAGTTAAAAATACGACTATACTTTCATTGTAATCATTGCGCAATAGTTAGGAAAATAATATTATAGGAATATTATAATATTATAGGAATGATATTATAGGAAAATAATATTATATTTTTAGCTCAAATGCATATATATTCTATTTTTTTTTAAATTGACATTTATATCACTTGATAGAGCAACGTTTCAGTTTTAGATGCAGAAATGGCATGGTTATATTGTTCTGTAAATAAACCAAATATTTCGGGTTGAAGCTCTTGATATTGTTTAAATTTTTGTGTATAAAGATTTATAATTACAAACATACGTATAATTAATCAGCTTGATTTATCAGTTTTTTTTTTAAATTTATGTTATTATTAACAAAATATATTGTTTTCTTATTTCATTAAACTCCTAAGTTTTGCATCACAATGAAACTTATAATTGCATTTTGAATACGTAAAGTACTTATACAAAAAAGTTTAAATTAATTTTGTCATTATATGCTTTTCAAATTTAATAAGAAAATAATAACAAATAAAGTAATTAAAAATGTGTTTAATAAAAATAAAATGCTTGAAATACAACTTAATTTATATGTTTACAATTTATTTAAAATTTAAAAATATTAACACATTTATAAAAATACAGTGTAATCTTAATGTTAATACTTTTAAGGAAAATCATCACGCGCATGTATGATTGCAGAAATGAATATTTTTGATGTACACACAATTTGTGAATGTAGCACGATTATATTATGAACCAAGTATCGATTTATCATCTGAAGTTGAAAAGTGAACGTATTATCCTCTGAAAAGTGAACGTATTATCCCCAGAAAAGTAGACGTATTACTTTCATAGCTATGTAGGTTACATCTACTTTGTCAGGGGGCAATAGTACGCAACAGCATTTTGCTGCCTTTATAGGTTTTCGACATGTCCTCTTTCAGGTTTTTTTCCACAATCAATCTCTTTCTCCCTTTTTTTCCCTCCGCGAATCAAATCTTATTCCCGAAACCTTCCAACGATTTAATTTGCGAATAAGGTTTACGGTTGTTTAACTCTAGTAATTGAGAAGTAAAACTAATTAAATCCCATTTGAGATGTAATGTGTTTTGTCTGTAGTCACTGCGCATAAAAGATGCGCAAAATTTGAATCTATTTACTGAACAAAAACAGGACATTAAATAGACAGTATTTTAACTAATAGTAATCTGTTAATTTAGACAATAACTGAGCAAATGTACACAATTTGCACATATTTTTAGGGGGGGAAATCTGCTTCAGTTATTAAATAAAATTCTATCAAATTCTTGTGCACTTCCTACGCAGAATTGTTACAACTAATGAGAATACAATAATATTAAACATTAATTGAATAATTTTCTAAAACTACGTATATTTCTACCAAGGATATATAAGATGTTAAAATTAATAAAAAACAAGAATGGAGATTAAATGTGTATTACATAGGCATAGAATACTTACACCGATAGTGCAGAGGATTACATGTACATTTGTTACAGAAAGATATTTCTTCGCTGCGTGATATACAATATATAATGTCACCAATACAATCAATATATGGTTAATCGTGTCCATAGTAAAAAGAATTATACGTTGAGCAGTCCAATTCGGCTTCCTATTTCCGGAACTTCCGATATCTTCAGTAGAATCTTTATGTAGAAACCATGATTTAGATTCCATTGATTGGAGTGAAAATCCGCCGTTGTTTTTATTCATCATTGTTCTGTAATATATATAATTTGTTACCAGTATTATGGCTAATAATCAGTTGAAAGAATTCGTAATGCTGCATTGAGAAAATGCATCGTCACCAGCATAACAACCAGATATTTTTATACACAGAGAAAGCTGTATACGACAATGATGGCGCGATGTTCGAACTTTTTTTAACTTTAAAAATTAACCTTCAGTCCTAATTTTATTGGAATGTTACAAATTTTTATTAATTCATTTTATGCGCACATTAATAAGTTATTGATATTAAACAATTTTTTTCAAAATATTAACTATATTATCAATATGTATACGTTATTACATTACATTCCAGTTGATGTCAATGGAATAAAATTCCAATCGTGAATATCTTCAAATTTGATGTTACAATATACGCAAGTAATTAGTGAGAAGTTTAGGTCCATTAAAACAAATCATCTCCACGTCTCTCCTCGCGCAATAGGCGTAGCTTAAGGCGTGCTGTCAAAGCTAAATGGCGCGCTCCGATTGGTTGATGGAAAAAGGTAGGGATTATAGTAATTAAATAGCGCATTCTGATTGGCTTAAGCCAAAGTTGCTCCACTCGATTGTAGCTTCATATCTTTTCACGAGGGAAGAAAGAAGCAGACAGCCAAGTCCTAAAGAAATCCTAAATTCTTGGATATTATGTGAAAAAATGAAGTATCGAGTATTAACCCTTAATAAGTGAAAATATTTAGTATACTATATAAATACATACATTCTCTTTTTTCAATATTGTTTGGCATTTAATTAAATGGAAAAATAGTTGCAATTATCTAATGTCAAGCATTTTTAAGCTTTCTTAAGTTGAATAAAATGTGGAATATTCTGACGAATGGAGAATTATAGTTTATAGAGGTTTAACACATTGTATTAGTTAATTAAGATTGTTTTTAAATTTGTAAAATTTGAAGATGGCCAGAGTAAAAGTCGAAATGTCGTTTAATTGAATAAATTCGATTGATTGAATTTTTAAATATAATTTGTAAATAATATCTTTTCGCTGATTTCATTATTCACAACAAAATAACTTGTGTAAGGCTTCAATAGTCCACTCATTTTTTAAGTTTCATTGTGGAATATTCTAGCATTCATGGGCTTTTTTTTTTTAATCATGATTGAAAATCAGATTTCAAACATCGTTGTTGATAACATGCGAAAATAAAATAAGATATAATTAATAAGAAAGTGATTTTTAATCATAAAATTTAATGAGAAAGGAGCATATAATCACTGCACAAATTGTTTTTTGTGATATTTAATATATTATAAAGGTTCTGATTTAACGTTTCGGCCAATATCTGGCCATCTTCAGTAAATACATATATAAATAATCTCGCATTAGTTACATAAATTTAAAAATAAAATATGCAATCATACATTTAGTTAAAAATTACGATCTCTTTCATCTTATTCGAGCATCATAATACGTAGTTGATGAGACAATTGAAATGTTTCGAATTGTATAAAACAAGAATTCCCAGATTCTAATGTAAGACGAATATGCTATTATTAATGTACTCTAATCTAATGTATTCTAATCTATTGAGAAATTAGAATTATTTACCTGTTTTTATAGCAATTCGGTGAAATTTGTGCGTCATCGTAGGCGATGTCACAAAAAAACCAGATAGAATATCATTGTGATAGCGTGTAAATTTTGTTTGTCGTTACTTTATTATGTGTCCAATATTTATATGTGCGCAAAAGTTGAGAACTTTCTCGAATTATTCTTTAGTGTAAGAGAGATCTCTTTTTAAAAGAGGCAGATAAACATCGGGAAGTCCTTCAGTGTCACTATGCTTATTTATACTTCTCCTTTGATTTATACTTTTCCTTTTTTATATGTATATCATTTCAGATATTCTTCATTTATATAAAGATTATTCTGTATTTAAAATGTTAACGTTACATTCTAATCACCAAACATTCTAACTCTGACATTCTAATCATCAGAGCGGATAAGGGAAATACAATAGTAATAATGAATCTCAATAATTACAAAAAAAATGAACAACATTCTAACAGATCAGAGTACAATATAGTTGTGAATAAGGATCCCACAATAAAATAACGGAAATTCGTAATTTATTAACTAAATGGAAAAATAAGAATTACATCGTCCAATATATTTATAAAAAACTTTATGTATGACGGAGAACTCTCGAGATCTTATGGACTGCCAAAAATTCACAAAGAGGATCATCCTTTTAAAATGATAGTCAGCTGTATAAACAACGCTTTTTATCAATTAATGATTTTTTTAAAAGACATTATAGAAGATAATAATAAAAAAAATTTTAGCTATATAAAAAACAGTTTCGAAATCGCAAAAAAACTAAATGAAATTCCAATTAACAACAATTTTAGCATTATATCGTTTGACGTGGTATTGATGTACACTAATATCCTTACTGACATAGTGATAAAAAGTATTGAACGAAGATGAAACCTCATCGTAAAAAAGATTCTATTCAAGAGTTTTTAAAAGCGAATTTCAATTATAATTAATTCTACCTTTTTTAAATTTGAAAAAAAAATTTTGGACAGATTTTTGGTATGCCCATGGGATCTCCACTTTCTCCTATATTAGCCAACATTGTTTTACAAGATTTGGAACATGAAATTCTTACAACTAATGATATTGTTGTGCCTTTCTATTTCCGATATGTCGATGACATTGTATTGTCTGTACAAAGTAATAAAATAGATTTTATTCTCGGATTATTTAATTCGAGACAACCACGAAAGGATTAAATTCACTGTACATTATGGTGATGAGAATGGTATTAATTTTTTAGATGTAAAATTGATGAAACGGGATAAAAAAATCATCTTTGATACGTACAAAAAACCAACTAACTAAAGGTATATTTAAATTTAACAAAAAACCAACTAACTAAAGATGTATTTAGAAATATATTTAAATTGCAATTCTAATCATTCAGTGCAAAAAAGAGGAGTCATTGGGCAGTTTGACAAAATATTATTTTTATCGCATACGAAATTTCAAGAAAAAAATATCTCAAACTTAATTCACACTTTACTAATAAATGGTTATTCTTTAGAATTCATTTTTTCGACTATTAGAAATAGAATTAAAACCTTAGAAAATTAACTTAATTTAGATAAAAAGACGATAACGACAAAAATAAGGACCCTAAATCCAATATAATAAAAAAGTTTATCGTCATATCATATCTAAAAAATTTAAAAAGGTATCACATAGGCATAGGTTTAATATTGTTTATAAACCAATAAATAGATTAAACAGATTCATAAAAACAGAAAAAGATCGCTTATGTGAAGTTGATCAGTGTGATGTAGTTTTCAAGATAAATTATTTGGACTGTAAATTTTCTTATGTTGGCCAAACAAAAAGAAAACTAAAAACACGAATTAAAGAAGATAAGGCTGACATAAAAAACTAATGCAATGTCTCGCGTCACCAAGTTGACAATAAACATGAATTAGATTGGGAAAACGTTAGCATTTTAGATACAGAACATCTTTATATAAATGAAGAAAATCTGAAAAGTGTACAAATAAGTTTTAAAGCATTTTTAATGAAATTTAATATTTATTTATTTAGAAATGAAAGTACACTTAATTATCAAAATAATTCCCGTCATTATTTATGACTTTTAGCCGAGCAGCTTGCGAATTCCAGAAGAAGATTTCGTCTTTTGATGCGATAAAATTATCCACCCATTTTCGCACTTCTTCAAATGCTCGAAAGTGTACACCAGACAAGGCGTTTTGCATTGACCAGAATAAATGATAATCAGAAGGGGCTATACGCTGGGTGCGGCAGAACTTCCCAACCAAGACCTAACGTTTCCTTTACAGATTTATCAACATGAGCCTAGCGTTGTCATGAAGTAATTTCACGGGACATTTTCCTTTGCCAGTAAATGGACGATTTCGTTCGATTTCTTGATTTAAACGGATCAATTGTTGACTGTAGCGATCACTGTTAATCATTTCATTCGAGTGGAGCAGCTCATATTATATTACACCCTTCATGTCCCACCAGATGCATAGCATAACTTTGCTGCTGTTGTGTTTTGGCGTTGATGTAGTGGGTTGTCCTGGATCCACATAATATTTTCTTTTTTTAGGATTATCGTAAAAAATCTTTTTTATCATGATTTTCCACAAGGAAGGTTTTTGTATGCTGTTTATTGTTTATTACAGATTCAAATACTTCTCAAAACGATCATTTTTGTTTTTTTTCACCTAATGCATGCGGCACCCACTTTCCCATCTGCCGTAAACGAATTGAAATATCTTGTTGAGTTATTCCAAGTTACTGTGCAAGTTCTTTTTGTGTTTGACATGAGTTTTGATCGAGTATCGATGAGTTTTGCTTGCAATTCATTGTCTGTAACCTTCTGAAGAGCACCACTACGTTCTCTATCGCTAAAATCATCCTCTTTAAATCGCCTAAACCAAAACTAACACGTACTTTTGGATACAACATTGTCTCCAACAAGAATAGAACAAATTAATTCGTATGCTTTAGCAGCGCTTTTTCCTTAATGAAATTCGTATGCAATGTCGAATAAATTGCTTGTCGCTCATCATCTAATTTTGTGATTATGTTTGCAATTATGTGAAGTCAATTGTTTCTTTTGACAGTTTACATTAAGCGCCATCACATATCAAAAGAATGCGAAAATATTTGAATTATATGTTACAATATACAAAAAACGCTTTAAAACTTATTTGTACACCTAATAATATCTATAAAAAAGTCAAAAGGAGAAGTATAAATAAGCATAGTGACACTGAAGGACTGCCTGATGTTTATCTGCCTCTTTTAAAAAGAGATCTCTCTCGCATTAAAGAATAATTCGAGAAAGTTTTCAACTTTTGCGCACATATAAATATCGGACACACAATAAAGTAACGACAAACAAAATTTCGCGCTATCACGATGATATTCCATCTGGTTTTTTTTTGTGACATCGCCTGCGATGATGCACA